GCACTGGTGCCGACTAGTATTCCAGTGTGTCGCTCTGTTTCTCTCCCTCACCCTGATAATGTGGCTCCAATGGTGATAGAGATGGCGGGGGAGGGGCAAACAAGGATGATGCGCATGCACCCCATGTCTCCTCCTTATCAATTGATGATGTCATTGGTTGTTAGGATGCAGGCAGCTGGAAGGTCATAAAGTACACAGTAAAAACTTGTGGCTTTGTGTACTATAAGGCAGGATTGATCCACCTGCTGGCTTGTATAAAATTTTTGGCATTTTGCCAAGGCACCCCTAAAGAAGTCTGAAGGCACCCCAGGGTGCCTGGGCACTCTGGTTGAGAAAGGCTGTTCTAAAGAACAAGTTCTCCTTTAGAATGTATCAGTTAGAAAGATGAGTAAAAACCTTTTAACACCAGCAGGGGTGCATACAATGATCAGCATTTATTTATTCATGTAAAACCCGATAATCCCCTTCCTTCCTTAAAGCCATCATGACTAGCAATATCACATGGGGAAGGAAAGTAAATATCAATCTGTAATCCAAAGTAAGTCTTGGCTTGCGTTGAAGTGCTCATGTGCAGGATTTGATGATGCGTTTTGAGGACTAGTGGCTTTATATAGTTGGTAAGGCCCAATAATGACACCAGTCTATCCAGTTCCACCTGTGTGGGTATGGATGTGTGTTTGTATCAATACCATTTCCCATATCCCTGTATATTGCATTCGCTAAGATGCCCATCTAAGAGCCTTTTTTTTTTAAACTAGTGACACTTCCCACTGACACCAGCGATTTGTAGAAAGGAGTTCCACATCCTTACCGCTCTGACAGTAAAGAACCCCCTACCCAGTTTAAAGTTAAACCCCTTCTCCAGTTACATTGAGCAGCTGCTTGTCTTCGTAAAGAGAAGAGCTCCAATCTTCTGTGAAAAAATGAAATGTCAGCAGCTACAAAAACTAATAAACAGCCACTCATCTGTCCCACCATCCAGCGGTGTGCTTACCTCAGCCATTTTTATCACCTGTCATCTGTCCCCCCTGGCACCGGCATGTTAACTGTGGATACCCAGCTGTGACAGATTGCGGCTGCACAGCCGGGTGCCCGCTGCGCATGCGTGAGATGGGCTGCACATTGTGAATAGTCCCTTAGTCTTCTGAGACCTGTCACTTGTTCCAGAAGACTATGGGGAGGGAGGGAGGGGGGGGGGGGGGGGGAGAACTTCCGCTTCCGATTGCCTAGGCCAGTGGTAGGCAACCTGCGGCTCTTCAGCTGTTGTAGGACTACAAGTACCATCATGCCTCTGCAAGTCACAGCTGTAACTGTCAGTTTTGTAATGTTGCATTGCCTCATGGGAAATGTAGTTCCACAACAGCTAGAGAGCAGCAGGTTGCCTACCCCTGGCCTAGGCAATCAGAGCAGTAGTGGGAACAGGTGTCTATCAAAATCAGGTACCCCCCCACAAAAGTACCATTTCTTTACCAGGAGCGGAGCAGGAGGCCTTGAAGCGGAACAACCCTCTTTTGGGTGGAGCTCCGCTTTAAGCTCCCTGAAACTGAATAGTTTTTTCCTATGCTAGAATCACCATTGAGTTCCTTGTATATTGCTATTATATCTCCTCTAAAGCGTCTCTTCTCTGGGGAGAATAAGTTTAGTACTTGTAGTTCTTAGTAATTGAGGTCCTCCATCAGTTTTGTTACCTTTCTTTGGAATCCTTCCAGTTGCAGCACATCCTTCCTGAGGACTGGCTTTAGTCATCATCCGAAAACAACAAAAATGGCACCAGCTAATGTATATCTTTCTGAATGAGGTTCTGTGATTTTGTGGGGTAGGAATGTTGGGCTTAGCTTTTTTTTTAATATTGAGTTGTCCTCCCCCTCCCCTTTGTGACTATAGCAGCCTTCGCTCCTCTGGGAAGACTTGGGCTCATTCAAACAAAAGAGCATTTGTGATCAGTTACTAATGTTGGATGAGAAGACCTGGCTCACATTCGGCATTCCAGTTCATCCATCCCAAAGGTGTTCAGCAGGGTTGGGGTCATCATCAGCCATGTCTTTATGGAGCTGGCTTTCTTTATTGTACATCATGGGACACAGAGCAGGCTATAATCATGACCATCTGGGTTATGTGCCACCTATAGGTGAATGGACATTAGCAGACCAATCAAACAGGAAGTCCTTCCCTACATAACCATTCCCATACAGGAAGCTCCTCTGTTTTTTCACCGGTGTCTTGAAGGTGATGGTCACTAAAGTTTAGCTTGCTGTATGAGTTTTTGTAGTGGTCTTAAGATGGTTCCAGCAAGAATCAAGGGACTGGTTGACTGGATCCATTCTTATAGCAAGTACTCTTAACGGATGGTACCTGGGCCTTGGGGAGAAATGATAAAGATTGGGCGGGGATTACTTGTAATGCATTGTTTTTGGCGCTGGACCCTGCATTATGGAACCCTGAGCAGTTTTAGCATTGACCAAGGTGTTTTCCGGCAGGGTGCTGTACATGTCCACAGAAGTAGACCCCACAGCAGCGGGGGACCATGTCCCTAATGGTCCTTAGCAACAGAGCCTGCTGTGATGGGTGAAGATTGGTTCCCTGTCCTGTGAAAGAGTCCTATGGTGGGATTGCTGAGTGCTTTTGTTTTTTAATTCAGGGTCCTCTTAAGATGTTCTGGTGTCCTAACCGTCCTCTCCTCTTTTCACCAGGGGCTTTATACTGGGGCTGAAGGAAGGCTCTTAGGGGTTCTGGCCTGGCTGTGTTTTTACCTCATTGGGTGGCTGTAGTGGTTTTTTTTTTTGGTCTATGTGTTTCCCAAGTGTCACGGGTGCAGGCGAGCGCGCAGTGTTCGGTGTGTGGCCCGTGCAGGAGAACAGTCATCCTGGCACAGAATAGGGCCTTCACCAAATTGTTGCCACAAGGTTGGAATTGCATAGTTGTCCAAAATGTCTTTGCATGGGGTAGCATTACCATGACCCTTCAGTGGAAACATCTGAACTCAATGATTTAGAGGGCTGTCTAGATACTCTTGGTCAGTTAGGTAGGTGCAGTAGTTAGGTATCCACATACATTTGGCAATATAGTCTACAAAGTGTATCGCTCATCCACAGGGAGGCAGTTGATGCAGAGTGCAGTTTGTTATCTTTTCATAGCAGTGGGATTGAGATTCTAGCAGACACTCCAACATAGCAGTCTATTTGAGGAAGTATCTGCAGTAGCATATCTGGAGACCAGAAGCAAGTACAAATCTGCATGTACACTGCAGCTGACAGACTCACGTTTAGGAGCTGTTCAGCGTTTTTTTCAGCAGCCCCTGAACTCTCCCTAATGTTTTCCTATGTGTCCATGTACACATCTTTGTTTACAGTCATGTACAGGCATTTGAGTTTGCAGTCGTTTTTTTTTTTTAAAGCAGAGAACTTGCATTCAGCAGTCGATTTTATCAGCGTTTCAAACGCAAAATGCTTGTAAACGCGACAAATTGTGTTTATAAGTGTTTGCGTCTGAAAATTTTTTTTTAACGCTTCCAGTTCCTTATGATGTCCAGAGCCTTTTTCTTCATAAAAAATGCATGCAAAGCATTTTCAAGGTACTCAAATGGACAAAACACTGAACACAGGATGTTCCTACCAAGCTTGTCACACATTGTAATGACCAATTCACACCTCAGACCTCTCCCTCCCTTGGAAACAAAATATATGTTAATGACCATTCACACCTCAAATTCCTCATGAAGACCCCCTGCCAGGTGGCCTTAATGACTCCCTCCACCAGACACCTTTCCCACCCTTTGAAACAAAAGAAATGTTAATGACAACTCACACCTAAGCTAATCTCAACACATACTGCTGTCTCTGCTTCTACTCTCTGTATTTCTCTGAAACAGAGAGGAGGAAGTATCTGCAGTAGCATATCTGGAGACCAGAAGCAAGTACAAATCTGCATGTACACTGCAGCTGATAGACTCGGGTTTAGTAGCTGTTCAGCATTTTTTTCAGCAGCCCCTGAACTCTCCCTAATGTTTTCCTATGTGTCCATGCACACATCTTTGTTTACAGTCGTGTACAGGCATTTGAGTTTACAGTCGTTTTTTTTTTAACGCAGAGAACTTGCATTCAGCAGTCGATTTTATCAGCGTTTCAAACGCAAAACGCTTGTAAACGCGACAAATCGTGTTTATAAGTGTTTGCGTCTGAAAATTTTTTTTTTAACTCTTCCAGTTCCTGATGATGTCCAGAGCCTTTTTTCTTCATGAAAAATGCATGCAAAGCGTTTTCAAGGTACTCAAATGGACAAAACACTGAACACAGGATGTTCCTACCAAGCTTGTCACACATTGTAATGACCAATTCACACCTCAGACCTCTCCCTCCCTTGGAAACAAAATATACGTTAATGACTATTCACACCTCAAATTCCTCATGAACCCCCTGCCAGGTGGCCTTAATGACTCCCTCCACCAGACACCTTTCCCACCCTTGGAAACAAAAGAAATGTGAATGAGCAACTCACACCTAAGCTAATCTCAACACATACTGCTGTCTCTGCTTCTACTCTCTGTATTTCTCTGAAACAGAGAGGAGGAAGTATCTGCAGTAGCATATCTGGAGACCAGAAGCAAGTACAAATCTGCAAAGAAGTTTGCCAAAATCATTTCACTGTGCACAATCAGCCTTGACCCTCCAAAATACGCAATAGAAACAGAAGGCAGTGAGAGGTTATCCAGAAGTGGTCATCCCTTATTCATTCCTCTTTATTCATTATAGATGACATCTCTCAGAATTATTCTGCAGTTTGTTGATTTGTACGCGTCTCTAATACCACGAGCGCCGCTGTTTATCACCCACCAGTCACGATGTGTATGTATATATCTTTGCATCTATGTGCAAGCATTGTCATTTCAATTTTCCATGATTAAATATTTATATGAGCTGCCGGATCTGTGGAGATGAATGAACGTGGCACACTCTGAAAGTTCAATTTATCGAAATGTAAAGCGGATCATTTGTTGTTTGCAGAAAGGGGAGAAGATGTCGCCAGAAGAGGTGAACGCGGTCCTTCACTTAGTTGATGTAAACAGCGGTGGCAAGCTTGACTACAGTAAGGTAATGTAGACCTTTCACTGGTCGCTTTCTGTGTATGTGTGTTTTGATTTTGGGCTGCTTCTGTGCATCATAGTTCCTGCTTCTGGTCCTCTTCACTTTCATCAGATTTATTCCAAATTCCAATTCAACGAAGAGCGCTAGTTGGCGGTTGGTTTGGTAGGGAACACCAGAGGCCGAAGTTACTTCACCACCCATTCCATGGGTATAGAGTCTGTCATCTTGCCCATTCTGATCAATGCTGTATCCACCTAGGTAAGTATAATGGGGGGGAAGCCCTACTTCTCTTTCAAGCTCAAACACACTTGGATTATGCAGCAGGACAATAATCTGAACCACACCAGCAAGTCCACCTCTGAATGGCTAAAACAAAACTAAATGAAGGTTTTGGAGTGGCCTAGTCAAAGTCCGGACTTAAATCCGATTGAGATGCTGTGGCATGACCTTAACCACTTCCTGTCTGGACACTTTTACCCCCTTCCTGTCCAGGGCAATTTTCAGCTTTCAGCGCTATCACACTTTGAATGACAATTGCGCGGTCATGCAATACTGTACCCATATGAATTTTTTACCACTTTTTTGAGACAGATAAAGCTTTATTTTGGTGGTATTTTATTCTCCGCTGGGATTTTTATTTTTTTTGCTATGTAAATGAAAACGTCCAAAAATTTTGAAAAAAAAAAAGTTTTTTTTAATAAAAAATTTTGCAAATAAATAATATTTCATCATAAATCTTGGCCAAAATTTATTCCGTTATTTTTTTAGTAAAAAAAAAAAATCCAAATTAGTTTATAACCAAAAATTATAATTTTTAAACATTTTTTTTTTACATTTTTATTTTATTTTTTTATATTATTTTTTTTTTTTTTTTTTTACATACTGTCACCCTAGCAGTACAGTGTCACCATGGTGACACTGTACTGCTTGTGGGGGGTGATGAAGATTTTTTTTTTTTTTTTTTTACACTGATTGCTTTTACACCCATATAGGATGTAAAAGTAATCATTTCTCTTTCTCTCTGTCTGCATTCTTGCAGTCATTGAGAGGTATTGAGTGAGCTGTGATTGGTCCCAGCTTGTCACATGGTACAAGGCTGTTGTGAATAGCCTTGTACCATGTGACCTCTCTGATTATACACTGATTTCACACGTAGTAAGCAATGATGTCACAAGTGACATCTTGCTTACTACTTTGCATGTGATCACTGATTGGCCAATCAGTGATCACATGATCGGGACCTCGTACAGAGGTCCCGTCCGACGATCTGTGTTTCACTGTGTCCTGAGGACACAGCGGGCACCGGATCGCGGTGCTGCGCGCCCCCAGGGAGCGCACACAGCTAGAAAAGGTGGGTGCCATTTATGAACGGCAACCCGCCCCTGGAGTGCCACCGCCCTGCCGTTTATAAACAGCAGGCGGACGGGAAGTGGTTAAACAGGCCATTCATGCTGGAAAACCCTCCAATGTGGCTGAATTAAAACAATTCTGCAACAAAGAGTGGACTAAAATTCCTCCACAGCGATAGGAAAGACTCATTGCCAGTGATCACACACTTGTTGCAGTTGTCACCGCCAAGGGTGGCAGAACCAGTTATTAGGTTTAGGGGGCAGTTACTTTTTCACATAGAGCCAGGCAGGTTTGGAAGGTTTTTTTCACCTTATTAGATGATAAATCATCATTTAAAAACTGCAATTTGTAATTACTTGGGTTATCTTTGTGTAAAAATAAAAAAACTGTTTGATGATCTGAATCATTTAAAGTATAAGTTCACCTTTTGCACAAAAATAATAAATGCACTTTTTTTTTGCAGGTAAAAAAATAATCATTTGGTGTTTTTGTTTGCAGGAACCTGTAAAGCATTGCATCGGTGATCGGTAGATCACTGGTGTCATGCAGGCCTCCTGCTGGCCTGTCAGTATATATCTGCTTACCCGTACAGGATGTGAAACGCAGGGATGAGAAACATAGAGATCTGTTAGTAAAAGCAGCACAATTTACACACATTTCACATAGTTAGACACACATTTAACCCCTTGATTGACCTAGATGTTAACCCCCTTCCCAACCAGTGTCAAAGAACACCCAATCACATGCAAGACAAAAAAAAAAAAAAAAAACAGCATTTTTTGCTTACACATGTTTGGATGATAGAAGTCAGCAGTGCTCTCCCTGTTTGCCTTTACTAAATTATTTATTTATTTATTACAGGTACTTAAATAGCACCTTCAATTTACGCAGCGCTTTACATATATATTGTACATTCACATCAGTCCCTAACCCTCAAGGGGTGTGCAATCTAAGGTCCCTAACTCACATTCATACATACACATACTAGGGACAATTTAGACAGGAGCCAATTCACCTACCAGTATGTCTTTGGAGTGTGGGAGAAAACTGGAATACCTGAAAGAAACCCACGCAGGCACAGGGAGAACATGCAAACTTCAGGCAGGTGGTACCATGGTTGGGATTCGAACCAACGACCTTAGTACTGCCAGGCGGAAGTGCTAACCATTTAGCCACTGTGCTGCCTAATATCAACTGCAATGACAGCAAAGGATTTGTTACTTGCTTCTTATGTACGTCAGTGCAAGTGTAAGGACTGAGCTCTGTCAGTAGACTGTCCCTATAAACAGAGTCTTCTCCAGGTGAGCTTATCTTTGCCTTTTTCTAGTTCTGCAACGTGTTCTTCAATACTTGTGACCAATGTGCCAAGATGGCAGCTGAGAAAATGAACGCAAACAGTCGGGCCAGACGTCAGCAATTTGGGAGCCAAGTCGCGACGTCTCCGGAACGCTCACCTTCTCCTCGGACACCACGTGATGGAGAAACGGCGCCTAGAAAAGGTGAGGAGATAGGCAATCAATAAGAGTGTTTGATATCCTTCATTGCATTTTTTTCCTGCAACTTAGATAATTGTTATACGCAATATAATGTGTTGATGTAGCATTTTTAGGGGTAAATAGTATTTAGTGGACTTTCTCTTCATTTCAAAGGAAAAAAAGGTACATAACACAGTAAGTCAAAAACCAATGGTGTCACACTCCACTATCAATAATAAACACTCACATATATATATATATATGTATACAGTGGGGATCGAAAGTTTGGGCACCTCAGCTAAAAATTTGTATTAATGTGCATAAAGAAGCCAAGGAAAGATGGAAAAATCTCCAAAAGGCATCAAATTACAGATTAGACATTCTTATAATATGTCAACAAAAGTTAGATTTTATTTCCATCATTTACACTTTCAAAATAACAGAAAACAAAAAAATGGCGTCTGCAAAAGTTTGGGCACCCTGCAGAATTTATAGCATGCACTGTCCCCTTTGCAAAGCTGAGACCTGCCAGTGTCATGGATTGTTCTCAATCATCGTCTGGGAAGACCAGGTGATGTCAATCTCAAAGGTTTTAAATGCCCAGACTCATCTGACCTTGCTCCAACAATCAGCACCATGGGTTCTTCTAAGCAGTTGTCTAGAAAACTGAAACTGAAAATAGTTGACGTTCACAAAGCTGGAGAAGGCTATAAAAAGATAGCAAAGCGTTTTCAGATGTCAATATCCTCTGTTCGGAATGGAATTAAGAAATGGCAGTCATCAGGAACAGTGGAAGTTAAAGCAAGATCTGGAAGACCAAGAAAAATATCAGACAGAACAGCTCGCAGGATTGTGAGAAAAACAATTCCAAACCCACGTTTGACTGCACGATCCCTCCAGAAAGATCTGGCAGACACTGGAGTTGTGGTACACTATTCCACTATAAAGAGATACTTGTACAAATATGGTTTTCATGGAAGAGTCATCAGAAGAAAACCTCTTCTACGTCCTCACCACAAAAATCATCGTTTGAACTTTGCAAATGGACATATAGACAAGCCTGATGCATTTTGCAAACAAGTTCTGTGGACCGATGAGGTTAAAATTGAACTTTTTGGCCGGAATGAGCAAAGGTACGTTTGGAGAAGAAGGGGCACAGAATTTAATGAAAAGAACCTCTGTCCAACTGTTAAGCATGGGGTTGGATCAATCATGCTTTGGGGTTGTGTTGCAGCCAGTGGCACAGGGAACATCTCACGAGTAGAAGGAAAAATGGATTCAATAAAATTTCAGCAAATTTTGGATGGTAACTTGATGCCATCTGTGAAAAAGCTGAAGTTAAAGAGAGGATGGCTTCTACAAATGGATAATGATCCTAAACACACCTCGAAATCCACGGGGGATTACATCAAGAGGCGTAAACTGAAGGTTTTGCCATGGCCTTCACAATCTCCTGACCTCAACATAATTGAAAATCTATGGATAGACCTTAAAAGAGCAGTGCGTGACAGACAGCCCAGAAATCTCAAAGAACTGGAAGACTTTTGTAAGGAAGAATGGGCAAAGATACCTCAAACAAGAATTGAAAGACTCTTGGCTGGCTACAAAAAGCGTTTACAAGCTGTGATACTTGCCAAAGGGGGCAGTACAAGATATTAACTCTGCAGGGTGCCCAATCTTTTGCAGACGCCATTTTTTTGTTTTCTGTTATTTTGAAAGTGTAAATGATGGAAATAAAATCTAACTTTTGTTGACATATTATAAGAATGTCTAATCTGTAATTTGATGCCTTATGGAGATTTTTCCATCTTTCCTTGGCTTCTTTATGCACATTAATACAACTTTTTAGCTGGGGTGCCCAAACTTTCGATCCCCACTTGTTTCCTCCCCCCCCCCTTTCCTGACCTGCCGGGCTGCATGCTCTGATAAGGGTCTGGTATGGATTTTGGAGGGGACCCCCATGCCATTTTTTTTTAAATTTTGGTGTGGGAGTTCCCCTCAAAATGCATACCAGACCTGAAGGGCTTGGTATGGATGGGAGGGGGGACCCCACGCCATTTTTTTTAATTTATTATGATGTCGCTTTTTTTTTTTCTTCACTATAGGTCAGAAATTCAGCTGTCAGTTTCCCTCCAGCTAAAAGAAAGTAGGTGTCTTCTTTTAGTTTATTTCCCCAAGTTAAGAGAAACAATGTTTCCTTTTAGTTTCTTAAACAAAGTTTCCTTTAACTCCGGGGAAAGTGACAGCTGATCTTGTGAGCTATAGTGAAGAAAAAAAAAAGCCGGCAATTGCATTTAACAATCGGCACCGACATACACTTCGTATTGCGAAAAAAAATCTGTAAACCGAGGCATTATTTCCAATGGATTTTCGTTCATAAACCAAAAATTACGTTACCCGAGGCGTTTGTAAACAGATGTATTACTGTGTATCAAACTGTCATATTCATTTTAAAAAAATAAATTACTTACTGTAGAAATATCTTCCGCTCATTGTATAACTGTGCCCTCTGCTTTCTGCTGTCTTTTAGATGCGGCAGTATATCAGATTCGTGCCTGGTTTGATGCTACATTTCCCATTTCTCCCTACAGCCAGCCTCAGATGTGGGCCTACACTTTACTAGCTAAAGTATAACTAAAAGCAAAAGTTTTTTTTCCAGTTTTGGATAGTGGAGTTATTAGAACCCCTGTCAGTTTTTATTGCAGTCTGTGTTCCCATTAGGCTTCATGTACACAAGCAGCTGCTAAACTCGAGTTTAGGAGCTTTTGGCATTTTTTGCCAAAGCTCCTAAACTCAGCTCCATAAAAGCGTGCGTGTCCATGTACACACAGGCTTTCTAGCAGAGTTTAGGAGCTTCTGTGTTTAGGTGAGTCTTAATGTCCCTCTCCTGAACGCAGAAGAATCACATTCAGGATAGAAACATTTTGACCGCTGGCCGTAGGAAAACTGCTGCAAAATCGCGGTTTCGAGGTTACCGTGTTTTGCCATGGTTTTGCTGCGATTTCTGTTTTCCCCGCGGCGGGCGGTCAAGTTAGGCTCGTGTACATGGTGCCTTAGAGAGATTCCCCCCCCCCCCCTATTTGTCCTGTTTACCGTTGTCATCAAAAATGAAAGTAGAAGAAAATCCCAAATTTTGAATTCTCCCCAAAAACAAAAATCGAGGAGAAATCTTCCAATGGGGACCCCCAGGGATTCCCTCACTTTGGTGGAATTTTCTCTCACTTCCTGTTTTGGCTGTGGGACAGGAAGTGAAGGGAAATCTCCCCAATGGGACACAGATGGCCAAACAACTGACGGGTTATAAACCCTCCTTTACTCCTTTAAAGGTTTTTCCTTTAGTTATACTTTAAATTCTTACTTTATTTTTAAATAACAAACCGGTGTATACTTACCTTCTCAGTGCAAGGATATTGCATAGAGTGTAGCGGAACCTCCTGTTCTTAGATCCCCCGCCAGCGCTCCTGGCTCCTCCTTTCATGCAAATGCCACCAAAGCAAGCTGCTTGCTATGGGGGCACTCATGTGGGCTCGATCCTGAGCTGCACTGCCAGCGTCCATAAACACACACATCTCGTCTCAACTGACAGCTTTGCCAATGGCTCGCGGTGCTTTCAGTCTGCCCTGTTAGAGCTTGAGAGAAGATAGAGCTGTTGCAGATTGGCACAGCGCTGGATCGAGTGAGGACTCAGGTAAGTATAAGGGGAGGGGGGGGGGGGGGGGGGGGGGGGGGGGTGAGGGGGCGATACTGATGCCTAAAAATTATTACCTTAAGGCAGGGAATACGTTGAAGTAAAAAGTGTTTAGGCTTTAGAACCACTTTAATACAAGTCTGGTACACATGTCAAAAGGAGCCTCTAGCTCCATCTGCTGTCTGCATATGGAATATTTCTGTGACAAAACAATTTTTTTTTATGTATTATTCACTTCCTTTAACACGGTGCAGGTTCTCTTTAGAACACAGTTACCAGGTTTGTTTTGCGTCACAGGCAGGCTTTTATTATCTTTATGTTTCTGTATCTTCTCAGGGACAGATGCAGTTGTGCTTCTGCAAGTTTTTTTGAAAGTGCTCTTAACCCAGGAGACCTAATATATTATGTTGTAGCCACACTTACTTTTTCTTCTCTTGTATGCTCAGACTTTTTCATCACAGTCCTATTTATTCAGCTCACGATCTAGTCAAAAAGATTTTATCATCAGACATTGATTTTCAGGAGGCTACAGTGATCTGTGGGAGCTCCATGGAACCCCAGTGTAACCACCCAATGAGGGTAGTCTCGTAGGGGACTACAAAGGGATGGGAAACTGCTCCCGTCCACCAGTTGTAGACTGACAGCTGGCTGATCTTGTGTGCAAAGGTTCATGGGACTTGTAGTCCTGATGTCAGAGTTGGGTTGATCATGATATGTGTTCTCCCCAACCAGAAGTTCAGGGAAGCGCTGTGAGAAGTAGATAATACCGGGGACACATCTAAAAGGTAGAAGCATGCTTTTTAAGCAATTCCAAAAATAACAGGTATCCTAGAACTTGAAAATGTATCTAAAGGGAAATCTTTTCTTAATCGTTCATCACAGGACAAAGAGGAGTTCCTAGTCATTGTACATGAAAGGCTTGTTACCTGGTGTGAAGCTCATAAGTTTCATCCCTGACGGTATGTTGTGGGGTATATTTTGACTTTTCTCCAGTCTGTAATGGAGACATCTTTGACTGAATACCATCCAAGGAAAGACATACTCTTTCAGAGACTTTTCCCATCTTATTCCTTGGTTAAAACTTTTATGCAGGGTGTTACAGGGGTTGTTCACCTGTGCAGCCCACCTTGTCTCCATAGGACCTAAACTTGGTTGTGTCTGTTTTGCAGTCTTTTCCTTTTGAACCTTTGAGAGATTCTCATGTTGTTCCTTACACACAAGTTTATCTTTTTGGTGGCCATTACTTTGGCTTGCAGGGCCTTGGAATTGGTAAGTAACCCTTCTTGGTTGTTCACTGGGTAAGGTGGCGTTAAAGCCTTGGTTCTCTTTCCTACCTAAGGTGGTTTCTCGGTCCATCTGAATCAGGACATTGTGTTTCCATCTTTTTATCCTAATCCTAAACATCCTAAGGAGAAGGTCCTTCACTGGATGTTGTTTGAGCTATTCAAGTTTATCTGAACTCTACAGCTTGCTTTCAACAGTCTGATTCCCTCTTTTGTTCTGTCTGAGGGTCCTCGAAAGGGTCCAGCTGCTTCTCAATCCACTATTTCTAGGTGGATTTGGCATCTTCTCTTTCCGGCCTATGGTATCAAGGGCAAGATTCCTTCTTTTTTGATTAAGGCCCATTCCACCAGGAGTGTCAGTGCTTCCTGGGTTATTCAGCATCAAGCTGCTACCTGGATTTCTCTTCTCATGTTTAAGAAGTTGTAACAGGTAGATATTTATGCCCCTGTGGACGCCAGTTTTGGACGAAAGGTCTTGCAGGTGAGTTTGTAGTAGAGTTCCCGCCGGTCTGCTTTTGGGCTTTGGACTTGTTGGTTCTTTTGCTGGGCTGTCCACCCCTCGTGTTCAATGCTTTGGGATATCCCAAGTAGCCAGGAAAATGAACTCCTCTGTGTCCTCTGATGTGATTAAGAAATTAGGATTTTTGGTTTACATGTAAATTATTTTTCATGGAGTGCATCACAGGACAAGGGATCTTTTTGCTTTTGTTCCTCATTGCTTGCTAAAAAAAATTGAAGGCTTATGCCTGGGCAGGGATCCCTAGCTTGTATGGCCAGTGAAGGTGGCAGCATAAATCAAGTAGTCATGAATATGAACTTCTCTGTGTACAGTTATATACTCCAAAAAAAAGGATTTTAAAGGAAAAGCAAAAATCCTAATTTATTGTGTGTGTGTGTGTGTGTGTGTGTGGGGGGGGGCCTTAATACAACTTTAAGGCTTAACGTCATGTTTTTTCTTTTTCAAAGTTGTGCTCCCATATCTTCAGAAATCACTGCAACCAATGTCATACTGACCTCCATGTCTCTGCACACTTGCCAATTCCTCCGCTCCATCCATCCCTCTTCCTCTTGGCCCTGGACATCTCGCTTGAAATTCATTTAAAACATTTGTTTGTTTAAAACATTAAACACAGCCAACCCGTTTTGGGGGATAAGGACTCCCACCTACTTCAGGGCTTGAACAATAATTTGTTATACGATCAGGAGGAAATTATATAGGGAGCCCTAAAGGAGAAGTAGGTCCAAAGCTCTTTTGGCCCTACTTCTTCTGTGAGTCCACGGGAGGGCATTCTGTTCCTCACTCCTGTGATTCATTTTCAACCCGCTGTCAGCTAAAGTCACTCAGCTGGTTCAGGTCCTAGATCGATCCTGACTTTAATGTTGGGATCCACCCAGTTGTCTGAGCGGCAATTGGCTCAACCTCTTAGTGAACTTCTGAGGGACTGAGCCAGCCGCTCTTGCCCCTTCACAGCCCAGCACTCCAGTGAGCTCTAGAGGAGCACAGCAGAGAGCCGGTGACTGACTGGCTGTCTGTTCACTGAAGTTCAAGAACTGAGCGATCAGCGGTCTTTGATCGCTCAGTTCTTGGTGTAGAGGTGGCAGCAGATAGATGCAGCAAAGGATTGAGGCTGCATCTACATAGGTAAGTATGACAGTTTGTTTTTCTTTCTAATCCCACACAACTCTGTTAAATTGAGGCAGGGTTGAAGTTAGCATGTCCAAAGGGCACTCTAACTAGCTAGCTGGATCCACACTCCTACCAGACTTTGGCCCTGGCCAACAAAGACATACTTCCTGTAGTCCTATAGTCTACAGGCGGTGCTTCACCACGTTTTCTTGGACTACTGTGGGTGTTATTACATGTGCAGGTGAGCATAATAACTTGCGTCCAGTAATATGCGCAATATTTAATGATTGACAGTGGTCTCCCAGTCGGCCATGCCCACTTATGATTCACTGGTCCCTGGAGGAATGTTAGACCATCCTTTCTCAACCAGGATGCCTTGAGGTTTCTTCAGGGGTGCCTAGGCAAAATGTCTAAAAATTGCCCAAAACTTGTATAGAAGCCAGTGGGTGGAACAAGCCAGCCTTTTAGTTACACAAAGCCACAGGTTTTAATTGTGCACCATTACGAACTTCTAGCCACCGGCGTCCTGACAACCAATGACATCATCAGTTGATAAGGAGGATGTCAACTGCCTGCATAGCATCCTAGTTTGCCCCTCCCCCACTCCTCTCCATCAGTGCTGGGGTCACATTAGCTCAGTGATGGGAGAAAAACTGAGGGAGAAGAGAAACATAGGAATATTAGTCAGTACCAGTGTGCAAAAGTGTATTTGCTTCGGAAGAATAAATCACCTCTAATGTTGGGTGTCCTACATGTGTGGATATTGCGCTTTGTGATATCAAAATAATAGAATAGTTTTTCACATTTTAGAATGGGGTGCTTCAAGACTGTCCATAATTTTAAAGGGTGCCTCAGGACTGTCCATAGTTTTAAAGGGTGCCTCAGGACTGTCCATAATTTTAAAGGGTGCTTCAGGACTGTCCATAGTTTTAAAGGGTGCCTCGGGACTGTCCATAGATTTAAAGGGTGCCTCAGGACTGTCCATAGTTTTTTAAAGGGTGCCTCAGGACTGTCCATCATTTTAAAGGGTGCCTCAAGACTGTCCATAATTTTAAAGGGTGCCTCAGGACTGTCCATAATTTTAAAGGGTGCCTCAGGACTGTCCATAATTTTAAAGGGTGCCTCAGGACTGTCCATCATTTTAAAGGGTGCCTCAGGACTGTCCATAATTTTAAAAGGTGCCTCAGGACTATCCATAGTTTAAAGGGTGCCTCAGGACTGTCCATAGTTTAAAGGGTGCCTCACTACTGTCCATAGTTTTAAAGGGTGCCTCAGGACTGTCCATAGTTTTAAAGGGTGCCTTGACTGAAAAAAGGTTGAGAAACACTGTGTTAGACAACTGTATGAATGTCCATATGTGGGGAATGGAAAAGTGCTGTTCAAGCCCCACCCACGTAAGCAGGTCACATAACTGCTACTTTCGGTGCACTTTTTGGCGTTTGTCCAATTATTGGGAATATAAAAGTAGGTGGGAAGTGTGCATAGAGGGTAAGGGGAAACAGGCTGAGGCTTATGGAACTAATCCTAGAATTGGACTTTAATGTCAGATAGCTAATCAAATTCAATATGTATTTATTTTTAAGCTGACAGCAAATCTCCGAGACCTTCATCAGCTCGGAACTACAAAGCCACAATATGTACCATCGCCAACATGGGACCGCCCAGTGCCAGGAACTCCAAAGTAGTGGAACCAAATAGCCTACAGGTAATTTTTTGACTTCTAATGCAACTTAATGAGAGAACAGCAGTGATCATATGAAAATGTATAAAAATCCCCCACATTAACCGCTTCCCCTCCGACTTATAGCAGAAGTACTGCTACAGGGAGGCAGGGGTGCGCAAAATCACATATATAGACGTGATTTTGCATTTCCGAGTAAGGGGCGCGCGCGCGCGCCCTACCTGCACCGCCATTCACGGCCTCGGCTGTCAATCACCGGGTCCCGGGCCGGTGATCGCCCAGTATCTCCAACAGGGGAGAGACCTGTGTATAAACAGTACAGATCTCTCCCCTATCAGCTTCTGCACACTACTTTTTATGGCTCTGCATAGCAGAGCCATACAAAGCAGTGTGCTTACAGTGAAGCACACACACAGCCAACATAGTGAAACAGCACACAGTTAACCCTTTGATTGCCCCTGATGTTAACCCCCCCTGCCCAGTGCCATTAGTACAGTGTCATTGCTTTTTATTAGCACTGATCACTGTATTGGTGTCACTGGGGATGTTAGTGACTCTAAATCAGTCCCCCCCCAGTGTCAGAATGCCCGCCGCGCAGTCCCGTTATAAGTCGCTAATTGCCGCCATTACTAGTACAAAAAAAAAATTCCAGTATATATACTGCCATTTGTAAACGCTATAACTTTCACATAAACCAATTAACTTACACATATTGGGATTTTTTTTTACCAAAGACATGGAGCAGAATACAAGGACCTTTTACAGCCCTGTCCAGCTCTCCTAGTGTGACTGCCTGTGTCTCCTAGAATCTCCTCCATGCTCTTGAGACTGTGCTGGGAGACACAGCAAACCTTCTGGCAATGGCCCGTATTTATGTACCGTCCTGGAGGAGGTGGACTGCCTGTGCAACACCAAAGCAGCTGAAACTGATTAACAACCCCCTCTGCTACTTAACTGACCAGATCAATATCCCAGGAGTTTCATTGACTTGTTGCTAGACTCTAATTAAAAAGTGTTCCTTTAATTTTTTTGAGTAGACTGTACATGTGTATATATACAGTCGGGTCCATAAATATTGGGACATCGACACAATTCTAACATTTTTGGCTCTATACACCACAATGGATGTGAAATGAAACAAACAAGATGTGCTTTAACTGCAGACTGTCAGCTTTAATTTGAGGGTATTTACATCCAAATCAGGTGAACGGTGTAGGAATTACAACCATTTGCATATGTGCCTCCTACTTGTTAAGGGACCAAAAGTAATGGGACAATTGGCTTCTCAGCTGTTCCATGGCCAGTTGTGTGTTATTCCCTCATTATCCCAATTACAATGAGTAGATAAAAGGTCCAGAGTTCATTTCAAGTGTGCTATTTGCATTTGGAATCTGTTGCTGTCTCATGTATCAGTGAAGCAAGCCATCATTAGGCTGAAAAAACAAAACAAACCCATCAGAGAGATAGCAAAAACATTAGGCGTGGCCAAATCAACTGTTAGGAACCTTCTTAAAAAGAAGGAATGCACCGGTGAGCTCAGCAACACCAAAAGACCCGGAAGACCACGGAAAACAACTGTGGTGGATGACCGAAGAATTCTCTCCCTGGTGAAGAAAACACCCTTCACAACAGTTGGCCAGATCAAGAACACTCTCCAGGAGGTAGGTGTATGTGTGTCAAAGTCACCAATCAAGAGAAGACTTCACCAGAGTGAATACAGAGGGTTCACCACAAGATAGAAACCATTGGTGAGCCTCAAAAACAGGAAGGCCAGATTAGAGTTTGGCAAACGACATCTAAAAAAGCCTTCACAGTTCTGGAACAACATCCTATGGACAGATGAGACCGAAATCAACTTGTACCAGAGTGATGGGAAGAGAAGAGTATGGAGAAGGAAAGGAACTGCTCATGATCCTAAGCATACCACCTCATCAGTGAAGCATGGTGGTAGTGTCATGGCGTGGGCATGTATGGCTGCCAATGGAACTGGTTCTCTTGTATTTATTGATGATGTGACTGCTGACAAAAGCAGCCGGATGAATTCTGAAGTGTTTCGGGAATATTATCTGCTCATATTCAGCCAAATACTTCACAACTCATTGGACACCGCTTCACAGTGCAGATGGACAATGACCCAAAGCATACTGCAAAAGCAACCAAAGAGTTTTTTAAGGGAAAGAAGTAGAATGTTATGCAATGGCCAAGTCAATCACCTGACCTGAATCCGATTGAGCATGCATTTCACTTGCTGAAGACAAAACTGAAGGGAAAATGCCCCAAGAACAAGCAGGAACTGAAGACAGTTGCAGTAGAGGCCTGGCAGAGCATCACCAGGGATGAAACCCAGCGTCTGGTGATGTCTATGCGTTCCAGACTTCAGGCTGTAATTGACTGCAAAGGATTTGCAACCAAGTATTAAAAAGTGAAAGTTTGATTTATGATTATTATTCTGTCCCATTACTTTTGGTCCCTTAACAAGTGAAAGGCACATATGCAAACTGTTGTAATTCCTACACCGTTCACCTGATTTGGATGTAAATACCCTCAAATTAAAGCTGACAGTCTGCAGTTAAAGCGCATCTTGTTTGTTTCATTTCAAATCCATTGTGGTGGTGTATAGAGCCAAAAAAGTAAGAATTGTGTTAATGTCCCAATATTTATGGACCTGACTGTGTATATATATATACTGTATACATGCAATTATGCATGGTATAATGTTAAAAAAGGGGCCTTTGGGGCAAGTGAACTCCTGGCTTCCTATGTGTGTTTGATACCCCAAAAGTGAGATCTCCCAGCCATAATTCCCCACTCTGTTCCTGACTACCTGGGAATTTTGGGTGTTCCCTTCCAGCTCCTCCAGCTACATTCTCCATATATACAAAATAAATGTGAATCCATTAGGGATGATAGAAGCCCCTCATAATGTGCACAGCAGGTGTGCAGACCAGGAACTCAGTGCGGGAATGGTGGGAATCCCTCATAATGAGCACAGTGCCTGCACTGGATCGTATGGTACAGAGGTGCCTGCACTGGATCGCATGATACAGAGGTGCCTGCACTGGATCGCATGATACAGAAGTGCATGCATTTTCTAAAGTAGCTCATGCATTACTTTTTGCACAGTCCAGTGCGATTCCGCCCACTCACTCAAAATGAATAGGCTGAAATCGCAGCACACTGCACCACATGTGAATTGCACAGAAACTCACAATTCCTGCCTCTGCGATTCCTGGTGTGAATTGGCCCAAAAGCTTTAACATGTTAATGTCGTTTAAAAAGGGATTTGAATATTTCTCAATCTGCAGCTTGCATTGCATTACTCCCTGGTGATCCTGCCATGAAAGGTCCTTGTTCAGGCACCTTCCTTTAATAGGATGACAACGCTCTATCCCTGTCTCCCAGTTGTGCCCCTGTGTTGTCAGGTGGGCTTCTGATGAAGTGGCAATTTTAACACCTGTTACACAAGCGTGGTCCGCTGTTGTCACCATCAAGAATCCCATCCTGTAAAATTCTATGCAGCCATTGCTGCCGTGCATGTGCTTCAGACCATTCCTCTGCTGTTGTGGTCCAAGTCCCTAAGCAGACTAATTTCAGTATCCATGAGAAACAAGTAGTGCTTAAGCCACACAATGGAAGGTCAGTGCATCAGGGAATCATTGTGAGATCGTTGCTGCAGGACATGTAAATGGCTGCAGGAGGTCAGCAGCATAAAGAATGAAAAAGACAAAAACGAGTATTTTATTACAAAAAATAAATGAGATACATCTGCTTTAATTACAGCATCCACCAAAAATTGAACTGTCAATTTTTGAAGCACAGACTTTTAAAATAGGACAGGAAGGGCTCAAGTTTCGAACTTAAAATGCACAATTAAACTTTTCTGAGTAAAAAAAATTAAACCGCATCCTGCTCCTCCACCCCCTCATTTGTAGCATCATGTCTTTTTAAAAAATGGCAGTTGTTTGTGTTACATCTGCTTTAATTACAGCATCCATCAAAAACTGAACTGTCACATTTGGAAGTACAGACCCTTAAAATAGGACAGGAAGGGCTCAAGTTTCGAACTTAAAATGCACAATTAAACTTTTCTGAGTGAAAAAACGCATCCTGCTGCTCCACCCCCTCATTTGTAGCATCATGTCTCCTAGATTGTAAGCTCCCAGGATCAGGGCCCTCCTATCCCTCTTATATTGAACTGTATTGTTACTGTATTGTCTCCCATTATATTGTAAAGTGCTGAGCAAACTGTTGGCGCTATATAAATCCTGTATTATAATAATATAGACCAGTGATGGCGAACCTTTTTGAGCCCGAGTGCCCAAACTGCAACACAAAACCAACTTTTTTATTTCAAAGTGCCAACACTGGAATTAATCACTTGCCTACCGGGCACTTCTACCCCCTTCCTGCCTACAGGGCACTTCTACCCCCTTCCTGCCTACAGGGCACTTCTACCCCCTTCCTGCCTACAGGGCACTTCTACCCCCTTCCTGCCTACAGGGCACTTCTACCCCCTTCCTGCCTACAGGGCACTTACACCCCCTTCCTGCCTACAGGGCACTTCTACCCCCTTCCTGCCTACAGGGCACTTCTACCCCCTCCTGCCTACAGGGCACTTCTACCCCCTTCCTGCCTACAGGACACTTCTACCCCCTTCCTGCCTACAGGACACTTCTACCCCTCCCTGCCTACCGGGCACTTCTACCCCCTTCCTGCCCAGGACAATTTTCAGCTTTCAGTGCTGTTGCACTTAACAATGACAATTGTGCGGTCATGCAACACTGTAACCATATGCAATTTTTATCATTTTTTCACACAAATAGATCTTTCTTTGGTGGTAATTATTCACCACTGGGTGTTTTATTTTTTGCACTATAAATGAAAAAAGAGCAAAAAATTTAAAACATAAAAGGTTTTCTTTGCTTCTATTCTAAAAGTTTGCAAACAGGTAATATTTCTTCTTTGATGTGCGTTGGTGAGGCTGCACTGATAGGCAGCACTGATGGGCATTGATGAGGCGGCACAGATAGGTAGCACTGATGAGGCGGCACTGGTGAGCATTGCTGAGGAGGCACTGATGATGCACTGATATGCAGGAAATGATGGGCACTGACAAGCGGCACTGACTGATAGCGCCAACTGGAGGCACTGACAGACGGCACTGACCGGCGGCACTGCTGGGCATCATTGATGGGTGGCACTGATGGGCAGCACTAACGAGGTGTCACAGATAGGTGGCACTGATATGCGGCACTGATTGGTGGCACTAATAGGGGACACTGATAATGGGTACTGATAGACAGCACTGATAGGTGGCACTGACTGACATCACTGCTGGGCACTGACTGGCACAACCGCTGAGCACTGACTGGCAGCACTGCTGGGCTGCACTGATGGGCACTGGTGGATGGCACTGGTGGGCACAGGTGGGCGGCACTGGTGGGTTGGCACAGGTGGTGGCACTACTGGGCACAGGTGGGCACAGGTGGGTGCATTGCTGGGCACAGGTGGGCGCACTGCTGGGCACAGGCGGGTGCATTGCTGGGCACAGGTGGGCGGAACTTGTGTGTGGCACTGCTGGGCACCGATCATCAGGGCACTGATGATCAGTGACCCTAATGATCAGTGCCGTTTCCTGCTCTGACAACTGCCGGTTTTCGGCAGTACTTTCCTCACAATCTGACAGCGTGAGGAAAGTGCAGCCGAGAACCGGCATTTGCATTTCCCGGTGATCAGCGTGTCATTGGACACGGCTGATCACGTGGTAAAAGGCCGCTGTGATTGGCCTTTTACCATGTCACGTGATCAGCTGTGTCCGTAGGACACAGCGATCACGGAGATCGCCCGGCGCGTGCCCCCCGGGCGTGCGCAGGAAAGCACGTTCTTCCTCTTCTTCCTGGCGTGCCCACTGAGATGGCTCTGCGTGCCAGCTCTGGCACACGTGCCATAGGTTCGCCATCACTGATATCTAATGTCTTTTTTAAAAATGGCAGTTGTTTGTGCTACATCTGCTTTAATTACAGCATTCACCAAAAACTGAACTGTCACTTTTGGAAGTACAGACCCTTAAAATAGGACAGGAAGGGCTCAAGTTTCGAACTTAAAATGCACAATTAAACTTTTCTGGGTGATAAAACGCATCCTGCTGCTCCACCCCCTCATTTGTAGCATCATGTCTTTTTTTTTTTTTTTTTTCTTTCAAATGACAGGTCCACTTTACGGCTGCGACGCCTCGTGCTCACCAGCTGCTGGCCCCTTTTTGTTAAACCTCTTATTGATTTTCATTTAGCTCTCTAGTTTTAGTCCCGTTGATAAATCACTTGCGCAGCGTCTCCTACAGGGGAGACCTCAGAGCCTGATTCCAGGGTCAATATTTGTAGAGTGTTACTATTGATCATTGCTCTTCGCTTTCCGTTACGTCGCTCGGACTTTAATAGGGTTTCTCTTTTATATCATTTTTTTGTGTGCCTCCTAAAATAATAGCTGCTGATATGAAAGCCATAAAGAGCAAACTGCCCGGGCTCTTCTTAACGTGACCCCGGGGACGCACGTGAGGCACATAAAATAGTTGTAAGGAGCGAACGGAAAATTCGCCAGTCACTGCTCTCCTGGGGTGGCCTTCTCATTTCCAGGAACGGCTCCGGCTTTGTTCTCCACCCTGGCCACCTTTAAATCATCGATAACCTCGCCGTTCCAGTCCTACAGCATCGCACTTAAAACTTCGGCCGATTGTTTCCGGCCTGCGCAGAAAACGGAGGCCTGTTCAGGCTCCATATTTGGGTGAGGAAAGCAAAAAATAAATGTACATTTCTATTATTTTTTTTATTATGGTATGTAGTGTTTTTATCAGTAAAAAACACAAAAAAGATATTCTATTCTTGAACTTTTTTTTTTTTTCCTACTAATGAACTGAAGTGTCAAATATTGTATGGTGGTAGTATACTGCCATCCAGTGTTCACATTCTAGAATGCATGCATGGATTGAAGATTCTGTTTTATAATATAAAACTCTCTCTGTGTTCATTGGGGGACACAGGTTTGTTCAGGATCTCAATGGGTATAGCTACCATTTCTAGGAGATTGGGAACTAGGCAAAGCAAAGGGCATTGCCTCATATAGATACATTTATATAATCCTCCCGCACTCAGAATGTCAACCTCTAAATATTTATTTATTTCAGGTACTTATATAGCGCCATCAATTTACACAGCACTTTACATATATATTGTACATTCACATCAGTCCCTAACCCTCAAGGGGTGTACAATCTAAGGTCCCTAACTCACATTCATACATACACATACTAGGGCCAATTTAGACAGGAACCAATCCACCTACCAGCATGTCTTTGGAGTGTGGGAGGAAACTGGAGTACCCGGAGGAAACCCACGCAGGCGCAGGGAGAACATGCAAACTAGAAAGGAAGCCATCCATTGTATATGACAAGTGTCATGTGACCTGCTGTGATTGGTCACAGCAGGTCAGATGGTACTGGCAACGCCCTGAGGAAAAGGGACTCGTCCCTGAAACGCGTCAGACCCCAACCGCACTGACAGTTGGACATCTTGCCCATGTTGTGGCCATCTCCATTGTCATGCAAAGCGTTTATACATGCTAAGTTTCGTGAGTATTTTTTTGTGTTTTATATGTTTTTGAATAAACCATGGATAATGCACTAAGTGTCAGGGACCATCGCGACGCATGGGTCTACACAGGCGTAGGTGTCTGCCAAGATGTGTAGGTGGCAGGGCACTAGGACCCAGGCGCACCCATCGTCTTGACAGTACTAAGCAGGCACTAGGACCTGGGCTGCTCTTGTCAGGTGCAGTGCGGGCTATTTAAACCAGCTCTGCACAAACACTTGTTGCCGAATGGTCTTTGTATGCTGTTACCTGTGTTGTGAGTATCTTGATCTGGATTGTTTTACCTTGCTGCCTTCTCCTGTCCTGACCCTTGGCCTGCCTGACTCTGCTCCTGGATGTTCCCCTTTAAATCTGATCTTTTGGTATTGACCCTGCGTGTGACCCGACTATCCTTTGCCTACCGTTTTGTACCTCACCGACCCGCTAGTTACCGACCCGGCCTGTATGACTCTGATTTAGCTCATCCATCCATCCATCCTGCAGGGATCACTAGGCTCCCTTACATCAAACTCTTAGTCCCCTGGAGCTCCTGTCAGACTCCTGTACCCCTGTTGGAGATACCTAGCAGCTGCGACCTGGTACCGGAGAGCTCCAAGTCCATCCCCACCATCAGGGGCCCTGGTGAACAAGTGCTCCGGTGCTTAGACTCCGCACTCTGGGGAGGCTCTGCCAGGGGATTGATAGAGGTGCTGTCAGGCGGTCCGTTACACTAAGTGTTTGCGCCAACTGTTTGCTCTTTTTCAAATTAACGGAATTCTTCAAGGCCCCAGGTCACCAAAACTAGTGTCCCCATTGGAAGATTTCCCTCTTTCCCCCCTATTACATTTCTGGAGACAAATCAAATATCGTGATTTTCTTTTATGTTCACTTTTGGTAAGCAGGACAGACAGCAGTAAAAACATGACAAGTGTTCTAATGCATCTCCGCTCTATCCAAAATTAAAAAAATAAGTTTTGCCTTTAGTTATACTTTAACATTTCTAGATGTTACCTATAAGAAAGCAAATGTTACATTTTTGGGTTTGTTTCCACTTTAACTGTATGTTATGGCCGTATGTGATTTCAGGAATGGCCGAGTTCCCAGTTAAAAGGATGCTTTTTCCTTGAAGACACAGGAATCGTTAGCCATTACTATAAGCTGCAACTGTCTCTGAGAACTACAGTCTATATGACAATCAAACCCTTAAATCTTAGCAGGGTGGAAGGTAAGTGTCATGGATAGCACATTGATTCACATAGTTATTTATCAGAGCTGGATTTGTTTCCCAGTAAAAAAAAAAAAAAAATCTGCATTGAGTTTGCTTGTTTTTCCCGTGGCTGTGTGGGTTTCCTTAACCATTTCCAAGTCTGGACACTTTTACCCCCTTCCTGTCCAGACACTTTCACCCCCTTCCTGTCCAGGCCAATTTTCAGCTTTCAGAGCTATTACACTTTGAATGACAATTGCGCGCGTCATGCAACACTGTACCCATATGAATTTTTATGCATTTTTTTTAGACAGATAAAACGTTATTTTGGTGGTATTTATTCACCACTGGGATTTTTTTTTTTTTGCTATAAATGAAAAAGTCCAAACATTTAAAAAAAAGTGTTTTTCTTATTAAATTTTGCAAATAAATAATCTTTCTTCATAAATCTTGGCCAAAATGTATTCATCTATGTTTTTAGTAAAAAAGAAATAATAACCCAAATTAGTTTATAACCAAAAATTATAATTAAAATTTTTTTTTTATACATTTTTATCTTATTTTTTTGCATTATTATTTATGTTTTTTTCTTATTTTAACATACTGTCACCCTAGCACTAGTGTCACTATGGTACTACTTGTGGGGGGTGATGAAGATTTTTTTTTTCTTTTTTTACACTGATTACTTTTACACCCATAAAGGCTGTAAAAGCAATCATTTCTCCTTCTCTCTGGCTGCATTCTTGCAGCCATTGAGAATTACTGTGTGAGCTGTGATTGGTCACAGCTTGTCACATGGTACAAGGCTGTTGTGAATAGCCCTGTACCATGTGACCTCTGTGATCATTCACAGATTTCACACGTAGTAAGCTATGATGTCAGAAGTAACCTCTTGCTTACTACTATTCATGTGATCGCTGATTGGCCAATCAGTGATCACATGATCGGAACCTCATACAGAGGTCCCGTACAGTGATCGGTGTTCTGCTGTGTCCGGAGGACGCAGGAGGCACCAGACTGCGGTGCCGCACACTCCTAGGGAACGTGCACAGGCAGTGAATGCGGGGGACATTTATAAACAGCCACCCGCTCCTGCACTGCTCCCGCCTGGCCGTTTATGTACATGGGCCAGATGGGAAGTGGTTAAATTCTTCTAATATCCTCCCATAATTTAAATCCACTGTAGCAGATTAATTGGCATCTGACCAAGATTGGCTGTATGGTTTTCACATATGACTGCAGCTGTGATGTTAGTGTGTACGCTTCTCAGGGGCAACGGGAGTGGGAATTTTCTTTGTCACACTCTTGGTCATTTTTTTTTTTAATCATTGCGTTTCTATAACTAATATAACAAAGTTTTAGGACAAAAATTCAACAAAAAAAAAATCTGAATAATATATTTTAAAAAAATATATTTTTATAAATATATTAAAATATTTTTCTCAGATTTTTTTTTAACATTTAAAAAAGTCATTTTAAACATGTATTTTTACATATATTTGTAAATGCATTCCAAAAATGTAGATATGGATTTTTTAAAGACATACGGTATATTTGAAATGTATTTTTAAAAATACTTTTCATATATTTTGTAATAAAAACACATTTCAACATGCAGTGTATGTATATACCATATATATATATAGATATATATAGATATATATATATATTTTTTTTAATATTTATTTTTTAAATATATTAAATGTGGCCAAAATTGTAGCATTTTAAATATATGGTAATATATTTGGGAAGAATATTTTTAAAATATGTTTCAAATACATACACGCATCCACGGCGGGCTGGATTACCGAAGGGATGTACCGGTACGTTTTATATTTTTCTTCCATGTGCGAAGACACTGAAATTAAGTTGAGCACATGCACTTGTTTCTCTAATTTGGGATTTTTCTATTAATGGCACTTTATGCTGTATATACATGCACATGATTATATTGATGCGCGGTCCGTTTGGTCCTTACTTTATATGTATTGTGAAACGCAACACAAGTACAGGACTGCTGCAAGAGTTTATTTTGTTTTTTTCCTACTAATTATTGCACATCCAATAGCGCATGAGCACTTTTATAAATAAGATACTGTATGGACTTTGTGAATCTCATATATTTATTATATATAATATCATTTAGTTATGTATCAAAGAATATGTGCAAGGGTATTAGACATTTGTTGGTCAGTAGGGAATTGCCATGGTAGGCAGATGTTGTCTCCTTTCAAACACACTAAGAATGATTTACTAAAAATGGAGAGTGCAAAATCATGCGCACTGCAAGTTCAGAAATCACATTGTCGCTGATTGTGGTCATCATGGTCCCCAGGGCCATAGCACATCCAATTCTGCCAATCATATGCAACCCTCTCCCGCTCGCAGATAGCACCGTGCTTCTCTCTCTGTGCACTCATTGGGGTTTATTTAGTAAAACTGGTTCACTCAGAATCTGGTGTAGCTGTGCATGACAGCCAATCAGCTTCTCACTTCAACTCGTTCAATTAAACTTTGACAAAGAAAATTGGAATATAATTGGTTTCTAAGCAGAGCTGCACACGATTTTGAACTCTCCAGTTTTAATAAATCAACCCCATTGCCTCTGATTGAAATCCTTAAGTCAGGGGTGTCCAAACTATGGCCTTCCAGGTGTTGAGGAACTGCAAGTCCCATGAGGTCTTGCAAGACTCCGACATCCACAGGCAAGAATTCCAGAGGCAGAGGCATGATGGGACTTGTAGTACTTCAACAGCTGGAGGACCATAGTTTGGACACCCTTGCCTTAAGTGAATCTATTGGAGGGATGGGGAGAAGTCTGTCTCGTTCACTTGTGTGTGTAAATTTTAGCTTAACCTATTGAACTCTGTGACCAACAAGCTGTATACAACAGAAGGTATGAAAAAACTGGGATACATAAAAAGGAGTCAGAAAGAAATGCAGTATATGCAAACTATTACACATTGTTTCTAAAACCCAACTCCAGGTTGGGTAGACTTCTTCCTGCCTCCGCAATTCTATTATCAACATTTCTAAATATACTTTTTTGGAGCTGTCTTCAGCCTGGGCACATAAGGTCTTGGGGTCCTCTATTTTCCTGCGGCAGGCGGTCCCCAGTAATGTAGAGGAGGATGCTCATGTAGTGGAGTGGACACTGTTTTCTACATCAGTTTCCTGTGAGTTCAGGCTGGCTTGGTGAAGATCCCTAGGGGGTGTGCCCCTGACCTCTCAGGCTCACACCGCTCATGCGGTTTGGGTGGATATAATTTATTTCAGGTATTTTTCAGGTACTTCTATAGCGCCATCAATTTACGCAGCGCTTTACATATATATTGTACATTCACATCAGTCCCTAACCCTCAAGGGGTGTACAATCTAAGGTCCCTAACTCACATTCATACATACACATACTAGGGACAATTTAGACAGGAGCCAATTCAGCTGCCAGCATGTCTTTGGAGTGTGAGAGGAACTGGAGTACTGGAGAAAACCCATGCAGGCACAGGGAGAACATGCAAACTCCAGGCAGGTGTTGCCACGGTTGGGATTCAAACCAACGACCCGAGTACTGCCAGGTGAAAGTGCTAACCATTTAGACCAAAAGGGGGTTCTGCAGCAGGACGTACAGTGCATCACTAGACTGTGGAGAGGGTATGTACGACTTTAAGACTTTTTTTGTTAATTGGGATGGGTGGGTGGTTAAAAAAAAATTAGACATTACCTATTAGAAATTTTTACCTTTTTTTTCTAGGAAAATCTTCCCCATGGATGTCAGTGGACACTGCTCTGTATATATTAAAGGAAAGCGATGGAAAAGGAGATCCTCAACTCATCTCTTTCACGGAAGTGCGGAATAAAGACGTGAGAGCTTGCTTTGTAATCCACTCACCTTCAATAATAAAAATAGATAGCGTTTTGGCTCAAGGTCTGGAACCCAAGGTCTGAAGCCATCTAAGCAAGCTCTTCAGGAAGCAGTAACTGTCCTGGGCCAACCATAAGTAGCCAAGGCATTCCCCGCCCCACAGCTACATGTGTGGTGGGAAATGCCCCAAACACAGATGATTGGCCCAGTACAGTGACAACGTCCTAGCAGGCTTACTTAGGTGGATCTGAACTTGCCCGAGCTCACTACTAGTTAGGAAGCACCTTGATAATGATTTTGCATTCCTCCCAGCATGCATTCAGCTTTAACAGACCGAAAAGGGAGGAAGTAAGAGAATTGTATTGTCAAGGTTTACCGTCATTTTTAAAAGGTCCACATTTTACTGCTGTATTCTCATTGTAGCTAATCCCTCTTACAGCATGTTAATCCGCTTCTTTTCTGCCTTTCTTCATGGGCACATAACGTATTTTTCGCTCCATAAGACGCACCTAGGTTTTAGAGGTGAAAAACAAGAGAAAAAAAATATTCTGAACCAATGGACTGCAGACACAGTACTGGGGATGACCAGAAACTGCAGACACAGTACAGGAGATGACCAGAGACTGCGGACACAGTGCAGGAGATGACCAGAGACTGCGGACACAGTACAGGAGATGACCAGAGACTGCGGACACAGTACAGGAGATGACCAGAGACTGCGGACACAGTACAGGGATAACCAGAGACTGCGGACACAGTGCAGGGGATAACCAGAGACTGTGGACAGTGCAGGGAATGACCAGAGACTGTGGACAGTGCAGGGAATGACCAGAGACTGTGGACAGTGCAGGGAATGACCAGAGACTGTGGACAGTGCAGGGAATGACCAGAGACTGTGGACACAGTGCAGGGAATGACCAGAGACTGCAGACAGTGCAGGAAAATGACCAGAGACTGCAGACAGTGCAGGGAATGACCAGAGACTGCAGACAGTGCAGGAAAATGACCAGAGACTGCAGACCGTGAAGGGAATGACCAGAGACTGCTGACCTTTGGGGAGGGAGGGGGAGCGGGTACCTGAATTTGACAGGTACCCGCTCCCACTTCCGTGGAGTTGTCCTTCCCTCTTCTTCCCGGGCCGGCTTCTGTGACAGCCGGGTGCCCACTGCGCATGTGCGAGAAGCGCTGCGCTTTGTGAATGGCCCGGCGCCTTCTGGGACCTTTCATGTGTCCCAGAAGACACCGGATCATTCACAAAGCGCAGCGCTTCTCGCACATGCGCAGTGAGCACCCGGCTGTCACAGAAGCCGGCGCGGGAAGACTGTGCAGCGCTGGAGCAAGGAACAGGTAAGGCCCTGCAAGAGAGAACAGCTGAGCGGCCGGCCCGGTATTCTGACATGGTGGCCGCAAAAATACCGGACCGGCCGCTTTATATTCGCTCCATAAGACGCACTGACATTTTCCCCCCTTTTTTGGGGGGAAAAAAGTGCGTCTTATGGAGCGAAAAATACGGTAATTTAGTCTGAAGACTTAGGCCTCATTCATACTGGCAGTGGTAAACTTGCATTTGTATGTGTTTTCAGGACATTTCTAAATGCATATAAAGGCATGCAATGATTTTTCCGTGGTGCGTTTACCTGCGTTTAGATGCGGTCGGTTTAGCTGCATTTAGAGAAAATAGAATTCTGTAACTTCAGGATCTGTTTAGAAACTCTAAATACATGAAATGCATGTAAACGTGACTTAAACTGGCTAAACCTGCTTTAGTCTTCGGTCACACCAATCCAGATGTCATTGCGACATTTTTAGAATTTTTTTCCACACAAATAGAACTTGCTTTTGGTGGCATTTGATCATCACTGGGTTTTTTTATTTTTTGGTATATAAATGAAAAAAAACTGAAAATTTAAAAAATTATATTTTTGCTTAGTTTTTGTTATAACAGTTTGCAAATTATTAATGTTTCCTGATAAATTTAGACCAACATGTATTCCGCTAAATTTTTGGGGTAAAAATAACCCAAAACATTGTATTAATTAGCCTGTGTGAAAGTTATAGAGCCTACAAACTATGGAAAATATATATGAAAATTGATCAGTTGAGACCCTAAAATGCCGGATGCTGGTATGACGTATGGCAGTGATCAGGACATTGGTACGAGGTGTGGTGGTGATCAGGTCGTTGGCATGAGGTATGGTGGTGATCAGCACGCTGGTATGGCGGTGATCTGGATGCTGGTATGGGGTATGGTGTGATCAGGACATTGGTATGGTGTATGGTGGGGATCCAGACACTGGTATGATATATAGGGTCATCAGAACGCTGGTATGGGGTATGGCAGTGATCAGGACGCTAGCATGTTATATAGGGGGATCGGAACACTGCTATGGGCTATGGAGGTGATCAGTTTGCTAGTATGGCATATGACATGATCAGAATGCTGGTATAGGATATGGTGGTAATTAGGGCGTTGATATGGTGTACGGCGGTGATCAGGACTCTGGTATGGGGTATGGCGGTGATCAGGGTGCTGGTATGAGGTATGGCGGTGATCAGGGTGTTGGTATGGGGTAGGGCGGTGATCAGGGTGTTGGTATGGGGTATGGTGATGATCAGGGCACTGGTATGGCGGTGATCAGGGCTCTGGTATGAGGTATGGCGATGATCAGGGCTCTGGTATGAGGTATGGCGGTGACCAGGGTGCTGGTATGAGGTATGGCGGTGATCTGGGCGCTGGTATGAGGTATGGCGGTGATCTGGGCGCTGGTATGAGGTATGGCGGTGATCAGGGCGCTGGTATGAGGTTTGGCAGTGATCAGGGTGTTAGTATGAGGTATGGCGATGATCAGGGTGTTGGTAAGGGGTAGGGCGGTTATCAGGGTGTTAGTATGGGGTATGGTGATGATCAGGGCACTGGTATGGCGGTGATCAGGGTGCTGGTATGAGGTTTGGCGGTGATCAGGGCGCTGGTATGGGGTATGGCGGTGATCAGGGCGCTGGTATGGGGTATGGCGGTGATCAGGGCGCTGGTATGGGGTATGGCGGTGATCAGGGCGCTGGTATGGGGTATGGGCGCTGGTATGGCGGTGATCAGGGCGCTGGTATGGCGGTGATCAGGGTGTTGGTATGAGGTATGGCGGTGATCAGGGTGTGGGTATGGGGTATAGCGGTGATCAGGGCGCTGGTATGAGGTATGGCGGTGATCAGGGTGCTGGTAAGAGGTGGCGGTGATCAGGGCGCTGGTATGAGGTATGGCGGTGATCAGGGCGCTGGTATGAGGTATGGCGGTGATCAGGGCGCTGGTATGAGGTATGGCGGTGATCAGGGCGCCGGTATGGGGTATGGCGGTGATCAGGACGCTGGTATGGGGTATGGCGGTGATCAGGGCGCTGGTATGGGGTATGGCGGTGATCAGGGCGCTGGTATGGGGTATGGTGGTGATCAGGGTGCTGGTATGAGGTATGGCGGTGATCAGGGTGCTGGTAAGAGGTATGGCGGTGATCAGGGTGTTGGTGTGGGGTATGGAGTGGGGTGTGGAGGACAACTCTTCCAGTGACAACTGTTTTAGAGGGGATTTCCCATCACTTTGGAGAGATTTCTGTTTACTTCCTGATTTGTCTTTGGAACACAGAGTGAGGGGACATCTCTGGAATGGGGGCACAAACAGAAAAAAGAGAACTGAGAGGGTTTTAACCCTTTTCCACACTACCGAAAGCTAAGCAAAAAACATTTTGGCAGGAGATGCAATTAAAATATTAATCACTGAGGCCATTAAAGTAAGCTGTGAAAACGGTGGATATAACAGCCCCAAAACCTGCTTCAATAAGACAGTTTAGCAATAGGTGCTCCCATAATTCAACAGAAATAGGTTCCATTTAAATCAGAATTCCAGTAAAAAAAAAGTCTGTTAAATAAAACAAGCAGCGTTTACCCCCCTGAAATCTGGCTTCTTTTCCACCACTAAATGTCCTTAGCCTACTGGCCACCATCATTCAACCCACTTCCTCTGAGCCCAAGCTGTCATAGATCTGCCACAGCCACTGACTCTACATAGATCTGCCACAGCCTTTGAAGGAGAAGCAGCACAGTAATGAACTTGTCTCTCTGTCACTTTGCTTTCTCCTCCTATCAGCATGCTTCGTTAGCTCACAAATGAATGTACTTCTTTTGCTGCTGCTGCGAGTTCCAACTTGAGCTCGGCTGTACGGGAACTGCAAAAAAAAAAAAAAAAGCTGATACCAAGTCATATTCAGATACTTACACTGCTCATGCTTAAATAGAATACATTTATTGATTACAGAGCTACAGTCATTTTTTATGTCTTCCTAGAGTTCAGCTTTTAAAATGAGACCAGTGTAGGTCTGTGGCAGCCAGTATACCTGATATCTCATTCTTTGCCGGCAGGCATTTGTCTGGAAGGGTGAGCTCGGAATCGGCTCTTACACACTTTTACCGTTCACAACAGGCTGCAAATTGACTAAAAAGAAAAAAACAAATTGTGAAAGAGGCCAAACTAGTTTACAGAAATGAAAAGGAAGATTTAGTTCTCACTCCGGAGTTCAGGTAAGACTCTGTTAAACATTTTATGTTTTGTATGTGATCACCAGCGCTGGAAATCTTTGTGATCAGTGCTGCAGGTTTTCATTCCTCCCAGGCATTCATTCATACTACCCCTATACATATATACACACAGCACCCATGTGCAACAAATAATTAGTGTACATCAAACACTCTAAATATGTATTCCAGTAAATAATTGTAACTTGTTATCATGCAATACCACAATTGGCTTAAAGGTTAAGTTCACCTTTATACAAAAAATAATAAATGCACATTTTTTGTAGGTAAAAAAAAAAAAAATGTGCATTTATTATTTTTTGTTTCTGGAGCCTGTAAAGCAGCGGTTCCAAACCTGTGGGTTGCGACCCCTTTGGGGGTCGAGCGACCCTGTCACAGGGGTCGCCTAAGACCATTGGAAAACACATATTTCCGATGGTCTTAGGAACCGAGACACCGCTCCTCTATCCATCTCCAGGTGGGTCCGCCCACATGCAGATACGCCCACATACGAGTACCCGGCGTGATGACATCATCGCGACAACCCCATCACATACACCCCGTACAAATACAGATGTATGTGGCAGGGTAATGTACTTATGTGGACCAGTCACACATGTGTAAAGAGCAGCTACTGTGTAGAAATCAGCTGCTGTGTTGAAAGCAGCTACTCTGTTAAAAGCAGCTACTGTGTTGAAAGCAGCAGTATTGGAGGTAAAACGACACTTCATGAATTATAATTATAATTGTTTTTGTGATTAATCACTATGCTTTAATTATATTCAATTTGTAGCAATGAAAATACATGCTGCATATCAGCTATTTACATTACGATTCATAATAGTAGCAAAATTACAGTTATGAAGTAGAACCTAAAATAATTTTATGGTTGGGGGTCACCACAACATGAGGAGCTGTATTAACCACTTGACTTCCAGAGGATTTACCCCCCTTAATGACCACGCCTCTTTTTGCTACTCGGCGCTGCACTAATTCAACTGATAATTGCGCGGTCATGCAATGCTGCACCCAAACAAAATTTACGTCCTTTTTTTCACACAAATAGAGCTTTCTTTCGGTGGTATTTGATCACCTGTGCGCTTTTTATTTTTCCCGCTATAAAACAAAAAAAGGCCAAAAATTTGGAAGAAAAACTATATTTTTTACTTTCAGCTATAAAAAATATATCGTAAATTCAAAGTTAGTTATAAATTTAGGCCAAAATGTATTCTGCTCCATGTTTTTGGTAAAAAAAAATCCCAATGAGTGTATATTGATTGCTTTGTGTGAAAGTTATAGCGTCTACAAACTATGGTATAGATACTGCAATTTACGCCATTTTTTTGCTATACAGCGCTGCGCTAGTTTAACAGACAATTGCGCAGTCATGCAATACGGTACATAAATGAAATTTACATCCTTTTTTTCCCACAAATTGAGCTTTCTTTCGGTGGTATTTGATCGCCTGTGCGGTTTTTATTTTTTGCGCTATAAAAAGAAAGGCTGACAATTTTGAGGAAAAAAAAAACTATATTTTGGACTTTTTGCTATAAAACATGTCCAGTAAAAAAAAATTTAAAAATCAAATTTAGTCATAAATTTCTGCCAAAATGCATTCTGCGACATGTCTTTGCTAAAAAAAAAAACCCAATATGTGTAAATTAATTGGTTTACGTGAAAGTTATAGAGTTTACAAATGGTGGGAAAGATACTGGGATTTTTAGTTTTTTTTTTATACTAATAATGGCGGCGATCAGCGACTTATGGCGGCGATTAGCGACTTGTGGCGGCAATCAGCGATTTATGGCGGGACTGCGGCGGACATTCTGACATTGGGGGGTACTGACTTGGGGTCACTGACATTCCCAGTGACACCAATACAGTGATCAGTGCAAAAAAAAAAAATAATAAAAACTGTACTAATGGCACTGGGGAGGAAGGGGTTAAGTTTATTATTCAGGGAAAGGGTTAACTGTGTGAGGGGAGTGTTTTACTAGGGGGCGGGGGTGTGTAGTGTAGGGAACACCGCTGATCGGGAGAGAGAAACTCTTCTGTCCCGATCAGCGTGTCCTGGAGCTGTCAGGGAACTGACAGAAAGCACAGCTACTGCAGCTGTGCTCTCTGTCAGCGATTGCCGCTGATCGCCGGGACATAGCCGGTAACAACCGGCTGTGACCCGGCGACTGACATCCACGGCTGTGATCGGCGGGACAGGTAGGGCGGTGGCGCGCCTCGCACGCGCCCCCTGTTTTAAAAAAACACACGTTTTAAAACGTGGTTTTGCCCAGCCGTGCCGCCCTGCTGCCGTATTTCTACAGTGGCTGGGCGGCATGTGGTTAAAGGGTCGCGGCATTAGGAAGGTTGAGAACCACTGCTCTAAAGCATTGCACCAGCAATCAGCAGATCACTGGTGCCATGCAGGTCTCCTGCAGACCTATCAGTGTATCTGCTTGCCCGTATGAGATGTACTGACAGGAAGAATCAATGAACTACCACGGCGTTCTACAGCGCCATGGTAGTTCATTGAGAACTACAAGCCGAGAGCCACAAAAGCTGTCAGGACTTGTAGTTCATTCATTCACATAACACCGTGAATGAATGACGTGGCTGGGCGGGCATGGAAATGACAGGCTGGGATCATAGGAAATGGCAGAATGACTGTGGGGTTCAGTTACTAAAACTGGAGAATGCAAAATCTGAGGCAGCTGGGCATGGTAGCCAATCAACTTCTAACTTCAGCTTGTCCATCTAAGCTTTGACAATAAAACCTGGAAACTGACTGGCTACCATGCCCAGCTGCCTCAGATTTTGCATTCTCCAGTTTTAGTCAATGAACCTCATTGTCATTCTGCACTGAAGAAAAGTGCTGGACTGAGGAGCTGTAGTTCCACTTTAACTTTTTCATACCTAGAAGTCATTAGCCCAAATCAAATTTATCAGCATCAGTATGTTGATTAACCTGAAAAATACCTAGCTGACTTGCCTACCTAAATAATTTTACCATTTTTTACAGAAACATACAGTAAGGCTTTTATTTGGCAAACTGTTATAATAAATACCCTGCTCTGTTTTTTTTTTTTGTTTTTTTATTATTGGCCAACAAAGGAAAATGAAATGTAGGAAAAAAACAGATTTTGTTTAATACTGTAATTGTATCGTAGCATTACAGTCTTTTTGTAAACAAACCTGAGAGCTTGCATGTGATCACCGTGTCATTCACGTGATCTGGAACCACACTGAATGTTTTCTGATTGTTAGTAGTGCCCCAGGCACTACCAGACACATCAAGGTCTGATAACTGCTAGTAGGCACTTGTGCAACACCGAACAATGTTCCCTCAGCATAGGGCATCGTGCTGGGGAATGATAATCTAGAGATAACAGTAGGGCAGAGGTTAAAGTAAACTTGTACTTTGCTGATTTACAGCAAAATAACACATTTACCAAATAGCCCTTTCCCTCCGCTGCTGGAACCTCCGCTGCTGGAACCACTTGGGGCTTCCAAGTATGGGGGTTCACATGTTTCTTTCACCTTCCTCCCACAAAGCAGTGCAGGGTACCTCAGTGGCCATTCATCAACTACAAGCACTGTCACATGGGGAAGGTGATCTCTAACCTTGAGTCCACTTCAACCCAGAATTGACCAGGGATTTTACATGGGACTGTAGCAGATAAACAGGAAAGCGGGGAGGCTATTGGGGGGGAAGAATAAGCACTAAAGGTTTGGGCTATCCAGCAGACCTGTTACTTTGGCCCGAATAGGCAAAATACAGGTTTACTTTAAATATGTACATTTTTGCCAGGCAAAAATGGGCAAAATAATGCTCATAGGTTTACACATACAGTCAGGTCCATAAATATTGGGACATCGACACAATTCTAACATTTTTGGCTCTATACACCACCACAATGGATTTGAAATGAAACGAACAAGATGCGCTTTAACTGCAGACTGTCAGCTTTAATTTGAGGGTATTTACATCCAAATCAGGTGAACGGTGTAGGAATTGCAACAGTTTGCATATGTGCCTCCCACTTGTTAAGGGACCAAAAGTAATGGGACAGAATAATAATCATTATTATTATTATACAGTATTTATAAAGCGCCGATAGTTCGCTCAGCGCTGTACATTACAAAGGGGGACAGAACATGTGACAGAACAATAACAATACAATGCAAAACATGAGGGGATTGAGGGCCCTGCTCTTTCGAGCTTACATTAATCATAAATCAAACTTTCACTTTTTAATACTTGGTTGCAAATCCTTTGCAGTCAATTACAGCCTGAAGTCTGGAATGCATAGACATCACCAGACGCTGGGTTTCATCCCTGGTGATGCTCTGCCAGGCCTTTACTGCAACTGTCTTCAGTTCCTGCTTGTTCTTGGGGCATTTTACCTTCAGTTTTGTCTTCAGCAAGTGAAATGCTCAATCGGATTCAGGTCAGGTGATTGACTTGGCCATTGCAGAACATTCCACTTCTTTCCCTTAAAAAACTTTGGTTGCTTTTGCAGTATGCTTTGGGTCATTGTCCATCTGCACTGTGAAGCGGCGTCCAATGAGTTGTGAAGCATTTGGCTGAATATGAGCAGATAATATTCCCGAAACACTTCAGAATTCATCCGGCTGCTTTTGTCAGCAGTCACATCATCAATAAATACAAGAGAAGCAGTTCCATTGGCAGCCATACATGCGCACTCCATGACACTACCACCACCATGCTTCACTGATGAGGTGGTATGCTTAGGATCATGAGCAGTTCCTTTCCTTCTCCATACTCTTCTCTTCCCATCACTCTGGTACAAGTTGATCTCGGTCTCATCTGTCCATAGGATGTTGTTCCAGAACTGTGAAGGCTTTTTTAGATGTCGTTTAGCAAACTCTAATCTGGCCTTCCTGTTTTTGAGGCTCACCAATGGTTTCATCTTGTGGTGAACCCTCTGTATTCACTCTGGTGAAGTCTTCTCTTGATTGTTGACTTTGACACACATACACCTACCTCCTGGAGAGTGTTCTTGATCTGCCAACTGTTGTGAAGGGTGTTTTCTTCACCAGGGAAAGAATTCTTCGGTCATCCACCACAGTTGTTTTCTGTGGTCTTCCGGGTCTTTTGGTGTGGCTGAGCTCACCGGTGCGTTCCTTCTTTTTAAGAATGTTCCAAACAGTTGTTTTGGCCACGCCTAATGTTTTTGCTATCTCTCTGATGGGTTTGTTTTGTTTTTTCAGCCTAATGATGGCTTGCTTCACTGATAGTGACAGCTCTTTGGATCTCATCTTGAGAGTCGACAGCAACAGATTCCAAATACAAATAGCACACTTGAAATTAACTCTGGACCTTTTATCTGCTCATTGTAATTGGGATAATGAGGGAATAATACACAACTGGCCATGGAACAGCTGAGAAGCCAATTGTCCCATTACGTTTGGTCCCTTAACAAGTGGGAGGCACATATGCAAATGGTTGTAATTCCTACAGCGTTCACTTGATTTGGATGTAAATACCCTCAAATTAAAGCTGACAGTCTGCAGTTAAAGCACATCTTGTTCGTTTCATTTCAAATCCATTGTGGTGGTGTATAGAGCCAAAAATGTTAGAATTGTGTCGATCTCCCAATATTTATGGACCTGACTGTAGGTTCACTACAAATGGATACTACTGGAGGACATGCAGGACCTTTGTTATTTTAGACATTTGCAGAAAGAATCTCTTCTAACAATAAACATGTTTGCAGACAGAAGAAGGCAGCATGGGGAAATCTACCACTCACTAAGCAAAAAGAACCAAAAACAAGCCTAAAATGATCGATAATGGGCGTTCTCATTATGCTAGGTGTGCCTAGGCAGCCTGAAAAATGTACCTTGATGTTCTTAATTACTCCTGTATAACAGCAGAGCCTTTCTGTTCCTTGAGCCTCTTAGCTGTACATCTGCAGTGTGAGATCATCCAAGTTGCTGCTGCCTGTGACTGCTAGTCTCCCCATATTTGAGGTGTGAGTTGGTGATGTCAGTACTGTGCTACTCACTGTTTTCCTTACTGGAGTGAAAGCCATATCTGATTACCTACAGTGCAAGGATCCCCCTGTTTCATCCAGTCTTTGGATTTGTGCTCATTCCACAACTCCTGTTGTTTCTTCATCATTAGGGTATATAGACATTCAGTCATCAGGGAGGCAGCTCTGACATGAGGTAGCAAAGTCCTCTTCTACCAATATGTCTGCCTTCACAGAGACACAATGCAGAAAAATACATAATCAGTAATGAGGAAATGATCAGCTGCAGGGCGCCTACAGGCAATAATGGTGATTGGTCCTTTGCCCTCTGCCTGCCTTTCTGGGTACATCTGCCACAATACAGGTCCTCTTTAACTTGATAGCTTTCAAAATAAATCACTCTGATCTTAGCGCCTAACATTCACACAGATAAAATGTAAAGGAAGCACTACAGGCCGATCATATAGGAGATGTATTTTAAAGTTCTAAACCAAGGAGCTTGCTACACATTAGAATATTCTTCCTCTCCCTTCTTCCAGATCTGCTCTGTCCGACATGTTTGACATCATTGATTTAGACAGCAATGGTTCTCTCAGCCTAGAGGAATATAATTTCTTTGAGATGCGGACCAGTGGTGAGAAATGCGACAATGACGCCTGGGAGGTTTGCAAAGGTGCGTCCCCAATGCCTTCAGTGTTTGTGTTTTATTCACCTTGCCAAGAGTTGTCTCTTTTGTATTAATGGAGTCACTTAATACAGTTGTTTAACGGAAAAAAGTGTGTTATTGAGAGATAATCTAGAACAGATTTAAATACGTGGCACTATCTTCCCAATAATACATGGTATATTACAGGCCGTAAAACGTCCACTAATTCTGAGCAAAACATTTGCATTTTTATGGTTTTCTATTAAGAATGCATTAGAATTGAATTACTTTTCTTTTAACCTTTCAGCAAGATGTTGAAGAAAAAAAGCTTTTGGCATAAAGGCCAGGCGCTTCCAACATTTATTACAATGTGACCTTAATATCACCCGCTATCAGTGCGCCTTCTTCCTCGAACGGCAGAGGGAAAAACTTAACATCATTTACTTCACTCTTCATCCAGCTTCTCATCACAGACTAGAAAATAACAAGATCAAAGTCACCACAGACTTCTCTGATTAAAGATGTACAGGAGATGCCCTGGCTAAGCAGTGCTGACTTGGCATAATTCGCAACTCAAAAGACAGTGTAGTTTATTCATTTTTAAAAGATCTATTTACCCAGATACAGATATTGTAGGTTTTGGTAGGTGATGGAGGATTGAATAATACAATGGTTTGTTGCGGACTCCGCTGTTCAGATCTCTGTGCTTGCAGGGACCCCAGCATTGCGGTCTCTATGCTTGTAGGGACTCCAGAATTGGGTCTCTGTGTTTGCAAGGACTCCAGGATTCAGGTCTGTATACTTGTAGGGAACCCAGAAATTGAATACGTTTGCTTGCAAGAACTCCAGGATTGAGGTATCTCTGCTTCTAGGAACTCTGGGTTTAAGGTCTCTGTGCTTGCAGAGACTCCTGGATTGAGGTCTCTGTACTTGCAGGATTGCAGGACTGAGGTCTCTTGGCTTACAAGGACTCCTGGATTCAGGTCTGTATACTTGTAGGGAACCCAGGAATTGAATGTGTGGTTGCAAAAAACTCCAGGATTGAGGTATCTCTGCTTCTAGGAACTCTGGGTTTAACGTCTCTGTACTTGCAGAGACTCCTGGAGTGCGGTCCTCTGTACTTGCAGGGTTGAGGATTGAGGTCTCTGTACTTGCAGGACTGCAGGATTCAGGTCTCTTGGCTTGCAAGGACTCCGGGATTCAGGTCTGTATACTTGTTGGGAACCCAGGAATTGAATATGTGTACTTGCAAGAACTCCTGGATTGAGGTAGCTCTGCTTCTAGGAACTCTGGGTTTAGGTCTCTGTGCTTGCAGAGATTTCTGTATTGAGGTCTCTGTACTTGCAGGGTTGCAGGATTGAGGTCTCTTGGCTTGCAAGGACTCCTGGATTCAGGTCTGTATACTTGTCGGGAACCCAGGAATTGAATATGTGTGGTTGCAAGAACTCCAGGATTGAGGTATCTCTGCTTCTAGGAACTCTGGGTTTAACGTCTCTGTACTTGCAGAGACTCCTGGAGTGAGGTCTGTGTACTTGCAGGGCTGCAGGATTAAGGTCTCTGTACTTGCAGGACTGCAGGATTCAGGTCTCTTGCCTTGCAAGGACTCCAGGATTCAGGTCTGTATACTTGTTGGGAACCCAGGAATTGAATATGTGTACTTGCAAGAACTCCTGGATTGAGGTAGCTCTGCTTCTAGGAACTCTGGGTTTAAGGTCTCTGTGCTTGCAGAGATTTCTGTATTGAGGTCTCTGTACTTGCAGGGTTGCAGGATTGAGGTCTCTTGGCTTGCAAGGACTCCAGGATTCAGGTCTGTATACTTGTCGGGATCCCAGGAATTGAATATGTGTGGTTGCAAGAACTCCAGGATTGAGGTATCTCTGCTTCTAGGAACTCTGGGTTTAAGGTCTCTGTACTTGCAGAGACTCCTGGAGTGAGGTCTGTGTACTTGCAGGGCTGCAGGATTAAGGTCTCTGTACTTGCAGGACTGCAGGATTCAGGTCTCTTGCCTTGCAAGGACTCCAGGATTCAGGTCTGTATACTTGTCTGGAACCCAGGAATTGAATATGTGTGCTTGCAAGAACTCCAGGATTGAGGTATCTCTGTTGTAAAGACTAAAGGTATTTTACCCTAATTCAATACTTACCTTAGCCCGATCTTGATCCAGCACTGTGCTTGAAAGCAGCAGCACTGCTCTTTCTCTCTCTTCACAGGCTCAGAGATAGCAGCGGGAGCCATTGGCTCCTGTTGCTGTCAATCAAATCCAGTGAGCAGGAAGCAGGGGGGGGGACAGTGCCAAGCCGCACTTTGTCTATAGATGCACACAGCCTGGCTCAGCAATGTGAGCCCCAATATGGGCGATCGGCGCACATGCAGAAGAGGAGGAGCTGACAGCGTCAGAGGAGGAACCCAGAAGATGAGTTTCAGGGCCGTTCTGTGCAAAACAGTTGCACAAAGCAGTTGTGCTTGCAGGGACTCCAGGATTGAGATCTCTGTACTTGTAGGGACTCCAGGATTGAGATCTCTGTACTTGTAGGGACTCTAGGAATGAGGTCTCTGTGCTTGCATGGACTCCTGAGGTTTTTTTTGCATATAGGGGTGCCAGGATTGAGGTACCTGTGTTTGCAGGAACTCCAAAATTGACGTCTCTGTGCTTGATGTGTGTGTTTAGAGGTTTGCATGCAGAGACTCCAGGATTGAGGGTAGGCACTCCGGGCTCAGCAGCGTGAGCCCCCATATAGGCTATGGGTGCACATACAGAAGAGAAGGAGCTGACAGCGTCAGAGGAGGAACCCAGAAGAGAAGTTTCAGGGCCGTTCTGTGCAAAACAGTTGCACAAAGCAGGTGAGTATAAATCTGAGTTAAAGGAAATTGTGCTTGCAGAGACTCCTGAGATTTAGATGTATGTGCTTACAGGGACTCTGGAATTTACTTTCCTGTACATGCAGGGACTCCAGGATTGAGATCTCTGTACTTGCAGGGACTCTAGGAATGAGGTCTCTTTACTTGTAGGGACTCCAGGATTGAGATCTCTGTACTTGCAGGGACTCTAGGAATGAGGTCTCTTTATTGTAGGGACTCCAGGATTGAGATCTCTGTACTTGCAGGGACTCTAGGAATGAGGTCTCTGTGCTTGCAGGGACTCCTGAGGTTTTTGTGCATATACAGTAGGGGTGCCAGGATTGAGGTACCTGTTTTGCAGGAACTCCAAAATTGACGTCTCTGTGCTTGATGTGTGTGTTAGAGGTTTTCATGCATGTAGAGATTCCAAGATTGAGGGTAGGAACTCCGGGATTGAGGTTTATTTGCTAACAGGGACTTGGAGATTGTGGTCTCCGTACTTATAGGGAATCCAGCATTTAGGTTCCTGTGCTTACAGGGACTCCAGGATTGAGGTTTCCATGCAGAGATTTAAAACAAAATGTAGGAAATCTCTGCCATACATGCACGCTTCCTCATGTTTTGTTGTCTCTTTAAAAACCCTGTAAGTACAAAAAAAGCTATTGCTCTGTCAGAAATCCATGGGGCTCCGATTTTCTTTTAGATCTGACCTGTAGATTTGTTATTTTTTTTTTCACTTGCTTTAACAGGATGACAACGCTGTTTGCTCTGCAGTGAAATCTCATAGCAGCGTTGTCACCCTCTGCACAGGTTTGTCTTAAATGGAAGTAAAGGTTATTTATGCTTCCAAATCAAATACACTTTCACTCACTGGTACTGCCTAGTATTCCTATGTTTTTCCTCTCCCTCAGTTTTTCTCCATTACTGAGCTAATGTGACCCAACACTGATGGAGAGGGGCAGGGGAGGGTCAAACTAGGATGCTGTGCAGGCAGCTGACATCCTCATCAACTGATGATGTCTGTCAGGGATCTCCTCGATCCCCGGCGCGATGGTCCTGGCGCAGGCGCAGTGCGCCACCCTGTGCAGGGACTTCGGGGCACTAGGTCCGGGCCGGCCGCGGCGTTCGAGTTCGCGCATGCGCAGTAGAAGCCGCGGCCGCCCGCTGGGCACCAATGGCAGCGCAGGGCGGGATATTTAAATGGCCCTGAGCTGTCATTCAGTGCCTTCTGGTCTTACCTGTATCCTGTGAACCTGTGAATTGTAAGTTGCTGACCCGGATTGTGCTCTGACCTTGCTGTATTTCTCCTGCCCTGACCCTTGCTTTGTCTGACCTCTCTCTTGAATTCCCCCTATTGGATCTGACCTGCTGTTGCTGACCTGGCGTGTGACCCGACTATTCTCTGCCCGCTGCCTTGTACCATACCGTCCTCCCTGTTACCGACCCGGCTTGTCTGACCTTGCACCTGCTCAGCCATCCATCCATCCGTCCATCCCTCCCAGTGGGGTCTTCTGACCTCCTCATATCAGGCTCTTCACCGCGGGAGCCCTCGGCGAATACCACTACCACTAACGGGTTTGCCCAGTAGTCACGACCTGGTCTCGGGGGGCTCCAAGTCCATCCCCACCATCAGGGGCCCTGGTGAACAAGCACCCTGGGACTTAGACTCCGTGCTCTGGGAACGCCTATTTAGTGGAGTGCTAGTGGTACCGCCGGGTGGTCCCTTACAGTACCAGAAGGCCATGACGGAGCCTCGAGGAGGACCCTCCCCGCTGGAGGAAGTTTGTAGGCACCTGGCTACCTTGACGCAAGCTGTAAACGTATTACAGGACAGGTGTTTACAGATTGAAAATTGGTTCCAGGCCTGCACGATATCTGCCCCTGCACCACCAGCCCCGGTCCCTGCACCTCCGCCCATAGCGGCCCCTGAGCCTGCTTCAGGGGCTCCCACACCACTTCCTATGGCCGAACCCCGGGTACCCCTACCGGAGCGTTTTCCCGGGGACCGCACATGCTTCAGGTCGTTCCGTGAGTCCTGCCTTCTCTATTTCGAGTTACAACTTCATATCTTTTTGACGGAATCAGTAAAGGTGGGGTTTGTCATCTCCCTCCTGCAGGGTGAACCCCAGGACTGGGCCCACCGACTGAGAGGGAACAATGACCCCCACCTAGGCTCAGTTAACGTTTTT